TCTCCTGTCGAATCTGCCACCTGAATTGGAAATCTGAAAAAAATGTATTAGATACATATGTAAATTTTGAATAAAAAAATAGAATTTTATTGATGAAAATTAAAATCAGAAAATTTTTTTGTACAAATAATAAAAATTGATGAAAGAAATTTAATTAAATTAGGAAATTTACAATTTTAAATCTTCAATTTTGATGAATGGCAAATATTTTCATGTGTAATTCTTTCATGATTTAATCATTTTTACTATTTTTTTGATAATATTATTGTTTATTAAATAAATTATTTTGTAAAATTTGTAAGAACTTTCTTTGAGAATTGAAAAATTATAAAAAAATCTAATTATGTCTAAAATTTAGTTACATTTAGAATTTTTTTTACTAAAGAACTTCTCTAAATTAAAATTATTGATAATTTTTCTAATTTTTCTAAAATTGGTTTATAAATTTAATAACATAAAAACTGATAAAAATTGATGCAAGAAAGTAAAATAGATTTTGAAATTTTCAATTTTAAATAACTGCAATTTTAGTTACTGTCAAAAATTATAATTATAAGATTATAACTCATTTAAAATATAATTATTTTTATGTTTCTTTTATTTTCCTGTCGAATCTGACACATTAATTGAAATTCTGAAAAGAACGTGTTAGTTTTACATACCTATTGTTAAACAAAAAGTCGAATTTTTTTAGAGAAAATTGATATCTTTTTCTGCAAATAATAAAAATTAATAAAAGAAATTTAATAAAATTTTTGTAGATTCTTTTTTTTAATTTAAAAATATTATTTTTTTTTTATTTTTTTATTCAATTTTATATAGCAAGTGAACATATTGGTGTAGGTAGTATTTGAAATACGTTTCTCGATTGGTTTTTGGTTTCCGTTTGTGATACTTTCCTGGTCATGTTTAAAGCCCTTCAGACATTGGCAGGTTTCCAGCAAATTATCTCCTATTTTTCTGAGTGCTTTCAGCTTTTTTGTCTCGCTTCTATTTTCTAACTTTTGTACAAAATCTATTCGTCACTCTTTTGTTTTGTGAATTTTTGTTATAAATTTGAAAGAAAATTACAAACTTGTAAAAGGAAGTAAAATATAAAATAATTATAATAATTACTTTAATAAACTATTTAAATTTTAAAGTGAAAATATTTTTAATAAAAAATATTTAAACTATTTTATGTAAAATAAAGAATTTTTACTAAGAATTTTTATTCAGAAGAATTTTTGTGAAATACAATTTGAAGTAAAAAATAGACTTCTACTTAATTCGTAGTCTTAAATTTTGTTTTTTCAACAAAAGAACAAACAATTTGTCCTGATTTTAAAATTTACAAGTTAAACTTTTACTCAAATGTCGTGAATCAAAGTTTTGTACCTAATGTTACTTTTCACTCCCGGGCAAAATTCAAATATAGATAATATAAATCTTTACTGGAGAAGTGAAAATTAGTTAAACAAATAAGAGAGAAAGGAATGTTTGAGTTTTAGTAGCTTTTAGGTAAGTTTGGTCTGGCAATTACTTAGGACAGTTAATATTTGCCTTCTTGTTATAGCCCTAACCGACCATTTTCCTTCGCCGTGTCGTCATTTATATTCAAATGCAAAATTCAGTGCGAGTGAATTGGAAAATTGAGTTAACTTCTCGTCTCCACGAGATTTAATGAACCAGAGTTAGTGTTTAAGATTTTTTTTATAATATATATTGTATATGTATATTTTAAAAATAGGGAAAAATGTACAAAAAATGAAAAAATCACTGAATTAAATTGAAGAAAGTGTATATCTACATATTCTAACGTTCTAATGTAAATCTAATAACTGGATTTCTTCGTCAATTTAATTTTTAATTTCATATTTATTGAATTTATGTATTTAATTTTCATTAAATTTAATCAGACAAATATTTTATCTCCTTTTAAGTAGTAAACATTAATTTAGTCAGATAGAATTTTAGACCTTTTCAAATCTTAAGTTTTAAGAAGTAAAAATCAATTCAGTCGAACAGAATGTTAGTTCTACTAATTTAAATTTTAAGTAGTAAACATCAATTTAGTCAGACAAATTTGTATTTTGTCTTCGAACTTATAGTATAATAAAAATTAACATCAGACTTTTTACTACATTAGATTTAAAATTCGTACTGCGATAGGGTTAACACAAAGTATAAACTTTTTTTTTAATGTTATTTGTCAAATGCATTAACTTCTTCTATATTGTTCGTATATGTCGTGCCTACATTTGTAAGTCACCGAAAGGGAAAAGTTTTAAGTACTTCAAACTTTAAAGTTCTACAAAAAGTATATCGGTATTCTCTTATATGCAGTGAAAATAGAAATACATTTTAGCTTAAGCTTTGGGTGCATAAATAATAAATTTCCTTTAGTACAATATAAATCTTATATTCAATCGTTTGGAGCTTTAGAAAAATTCTTGGTGAAAAGTCATCTATTTACCGCATGATCTCTTTTTGCAAAGCAGCACTTTTTCTTCTCTTGTCATTGAAATTTATCAATATCACCCACCGCATAAGGTCGATGCAATTTGTATTTGTATTATATAAATTTTAAATCTAAATAAATTGCACATATCTTATATTGGAAAATTTATAAATTCGGTCAGTAATGTGCAGTTTAGGACACTGAGTATATAGCAAAATATGTGTCAGAACATTAAGCAATATTTTCCTAAAATTTCAAATTAAAATGAATTTTAATTTAATTTTAATTTTTTAACTCGTGTTAGTAAAGAAAACTTTGTTAACAAGAGTCAGTAAAAAATAAAATATTTTGCACATTTTCTGCTTCACAATTACAATTCGTAAAGAAAGTACATGTTTTAAGTAAAAAAAAATTTTATAAATCAAATATTGTTTAAGAAATTTTTAATTTATTTTGGAAAAAATATTTACAAAATTTCTATTTGTTAAAAACGATTGTAAAATTATTCTAAAACATCAATAACTTCTTTTCTAAATAAATATTTAATTATTATTTTTCCACAGGAATCAAGATTTTCAAAAATTTCAAATTCAAACCTTTTAGAAATTTAACAACTTTATAATGAATTAAAGATAACCGAGTGATAAGATCATTATTTTATATAATAGGAATATTTTTACTGCAATTGTTTAAAAATTATTTTCATCATTTTAATTCAATTCTTATTTTCTAGAATTTTTAAATAAAATTCTTCTTTAAATCAATTATCTTTAATAATTTTTTAAAAAGTTCTTTGAGAATTTTTAAATCCATTTGTTTACAATTTAATTTTACGAAATTTCAATTATTCAGAAATTCTTCAATTGAATACGTTTTAAAAAATAAACACTTCAAATAATTTCAGAAAAAAATTCAATTAAACTTTTTCAAAATAATTAATTCTACAGAATTGTTGGTTATAAGTATAAAAAATTAAGATTTTCAAAGAATTTAATTTTGAAACCTTTTCAAAATTCCATTATTTCTTAAAATTAATACTATAATGATTTTAATATTAAAATATTATTTGAATATTTAAATAATTTGAATAATAAATATTCAAATCTAAAATTTTAACTGAAATTCATTTTTAAATAAATTTTTATTAGAAAATTCTACGAGAATTCAATTATTTAAATGCAAAAATTGCATAAATAAATATTTATTGAATAAATTAATATTTTTTTAAAATTGAATTCTCAAAAAGAATTTTATCAACAAATTTTTAAAGAATTGTATTCTTTTGACGAATTTTAATAAAATTTTTAAGTATAATTACATTTTTCGAGGAATTTGATTAAAATTGTATTAGAAATAATTTAAATTCTGCGATGAGTTTTATTTATGAAAATAATTGAATTCCTAAAAAGAATTTTATTATTTATGAAAATAATTCAATCCCTGTAAAAAAATTTATTATTTATTGAAAATAATTTTAAAGATTTGTAAATAATACAATTCATATGAAATTGAGAAAAGTTTTTAAAAATAATTGAATTTTGGAAAAGAATTTGATTATTTTTGAAAATAATTGAATTTATGCAATCATTTATAATTTTCCGAAAATTCAATTTTTTTTAGTGTTTTTGAGTCAAATTCGTCTATAAATCCACCATTTTCAATAATTAATGAAATATATAATTATTTAAAAATTTAACAAATTTCAGAAAAATTTGAATTATTAAAATTTTCAAAAACCTAAGTAATCTTTAAAATTTCTAATGAAATTCATTGAAAATTGAAATTTTATAAAATTTCAATATTCATCTATTTATGAAAATTGTAAACGCAACTCTTTAAAAATTCAATTAATTTTAAACTACAAGTAAAATTATTATACCAGAACTTATACATTCGTGTATGCTTTTGTTTTTTTCAATATTTCTCATATGTATGCATTTAACCTTTTTTTGCTTATAATAATTTTTACTTTTATTTTCAAAATATAATTTAATATAAAAATGAAAAATTTTTTTAAGTTTGTTTATTTACCATACAAAAAGAAACCAACACGCGTGTTATTTTAGCTAGTTAATAATAATTTTCAAATTTTCTCTAACTTGACATTTTTCAAGTCGTCATTAATTAAATTTTCGTTTGTTAAATTATTATCAAAATTCGGTAGGAAAAAAAAAATTGTTTTTAAAAAAAAAAGTGTTATGTATCTGTATTTTTGTTGAAAATATATTGAAATACAAGCCAAAAAATGCAAAAAAAGCAAAAAAGAAAAAAAAATTGAAATACTTTGCATACGATAAAAGTGGAATGAGATGATATTTTGAAAATTCATTAGCGCGTACACGATGAGAGAAGAGTAGCATCAACAGCAACAGTATTATACACACGGATCATTGAATCGTGAAAAATGGTCCTGTCCCTTTTGTCCTGATCGATTATTCGTCGAATTTATTCGCATATATAAAATATGTCTGGCCGCATGTTTGTGTTATTCTATAAGGATAGTGAAAATTGTTCAATATTTTCATATGAATTTATTTTTGGTCTTAAATTTTTATTACAGGCGTTACTTCAAGCACATGACGTGGCTGGCCACGAGGTCTATGGAGAGGAAGCAACGAGGGTCACTCCACCACCTCTTCTACCGTACCTGAACGGCAGTGATGACCTCGAAGGGCAAAACGGTGACCTAGACCTCGAAAATGTCACTCGTGTCAGGCTAGTTCAATTTCAGAAGAATACGGACGAACCCATGGTAAATAATTTTATACATTAATAAATTAATTTAACACTAAATTTTATTTTATTTTTTATTTTAATATAAGTTTGACAAATATTACATTATTGGATAAATATTCCAGTTAGCAGTTGTGATTTAACTCTTAAGGTCATGTGTAGCAATTTTTAATTTCCGGAAGTTCTGGAATTTGTTCTGGTATTTTCTTTTAATTTAACTGCATTTTCATTTTAAGAGAATTTTTATTTTATCAAATTCAGCGAAAAAAATTTGATTTTCAACTGTTGCAGAAAAAGTTTTATTCAGAAGAATTTTTTATTTAAAAAATTCACTAAAAAGCATTTTAATTCAATAGAATTCTGATTTAAGAGAAGTTTTGTTCAAATAAATCTCTATCAAAAAATTTTATTAAAAATAATTATGAATAATAAGAAATTCTATTCAAATGAATTTTTATTAAAATTACTTTTTATTTACTTATTTAGAAAAATTATATAAGTTAAAAATCCCAGTTATAAATAAAAATATCTCTCTAAAAAAATTTTTATTTTAAACAAATTTTAATGAAATCACTAACAAAAGTTACGCGAGTTAACACGCGAAATGCAGTGTTTTATTTATTATTATTTTGCAAATTTCAAAATTTTATATTTTCAAATATAAACATCAATTTTTGAATAATTTAAGATTCAAAGTTCAAAAGATTCACTTATGTGCACAATTAATTATTCTTATTTATTATTTTCAAAAATTTTAAGAAAAATTTTCGCAAGATTTAAATTTTCATAAATAATAACATATTCTTTGAAAGAATTCAATTATTTTTATTGAAAGTAAAATTCTTCACAGGAATTCAATTATTTGCAAAACAATTTTAATAAAATTTCACGAAAGAATTCAATTATTCCCTAAAAGTTTGATAAAATTCTTCGAAACAATTCAATTATTTTTTTAAATAGTAACATTCTTCTTAGGAATTCAATATTATTTTTAATATAATTTTAATAAAATTTCTCGAACGGATTGAATTATTGTTAAAAATTGTAACAAAACGTTTTCAAAAAGTTTAATTATTCTCAAGTTTTGATAAAATTCTTTGTAAACTTCAATTTTTTTCAAAATCTTTAATTAAAATTATTTTAAAAAAACTATACATTATTTTCAAGAAATTCTTAAAAAAAAATTAATTTTTTATAAAATCTTTAATGAAATTGTTTAAAAGAATTTAATTTTAGATCAATAATTTTATAAAATTATTGATTAGGTACAATTATTAATAAACACGATTATTTAAAAAACTTAGAAGAAATTCTTCATAAAATACAATTACTTTCAAAATTTTTAATAAAAATTATTAAAAAAAAATTTTCAATTATTTTCAAAAAAATGAAAATAAATTCTTTAAACAATTTAATAATTTTCAAAATTTTTCAAATAACATTCTTTAAAGAATTCGATTATTTTCGTAAATAATAAAATTCTTTTCGAGAATACAATTATTTTCAATACAAGTCAATTTTATTAAAATTTGTCGAATAAATTTAATTATTTTCAAACATTTTGATAAAATCCTTCAAAGGAATTTAATTACTTTCAAATTTTTTGATAAATATATGAATTTAATGATTTTCAATACATTAATTTTAAAATTCGATATTCTATGCTATAAATTATTCTGCTAAATGAAAAATTTTCTTTATTAAAATGCTCGTGAATTAAAATATTTGTTAAATAAAATTTTGCTTAAATTGTAAAATTCTAAAATTGTTTTAATAAGAGAATTTCATTTAGCAATAAATTCATTAAATATAAATTATATAAAATTAGATTTGAAATAAAACAAAAATTTTTTTTTATGAAAAACGGACTTACAAAAATGAAAAAAGATGATAAAAATATATTTTTTCATTACCTACATTGAATATTGTATTTTATTATATTGAATAAGAGTCCAAAATGCTTGGAAACAATTATGCGTCTAATTAGAACAGTTGAAGTTAAATTTTTTAAATTAAAGTTAAAGTTAAATTTCTAAAATTAAAGTTAAAAGTTAATGTTAAATTTTTTAAATTAAAGTTAAAAGTTAAACTTAAATTTTTAAAATTAAATTTAAAAATTAAAGTTAAATGAATATTATTAAATAATTGGAATTTAAAACATATAATGTTACAAGAAAAGTAATTCTAATTTTTAAAAACAATTCTCATGTGATAAATCTCGATTAATAGAATTAAAGTTTTTTCTTGCACTGTCTGTGAATTAAAATGCATTCATTGTAGAGAAAACAGTAGTAATATTTTTTTTATAAAAAACATAAATTGTATGCTTTCAGGGCATTACGTTGAAAATGAATGAAGATGGAAAATGTATTGTGGCAAGAATTATGCACGGCGGTATGATTCACAGGCAGGCCACTCTACATGTCGGAGACGAAATTAGAGAAATTAATGGAATTCCAGTGGCGAATCAGTCTGTCAACGCTCTACAGAAGATACTTGTAAGTCCTTTTATTTCTCTCTTTTTCACTTTGTCATTTTAAATTTTACCTTAACTTGGAACATTTTTTCCCCTTCACTATTTATTTAACACACTATGTTAACATTTATAATTTCAAATTTCGCTTCAGTTGAAATTTTCGAATGTACATTTTCCATTGAAAGAGATTTTTAAACAGAATTTTTTTCATCATAATTATTTTGTTTTATGAATTAAAGAAAAGGAATTTATCATTCGATATTAATTATATTAAAGGTGGAGATTTATAAGAAAACTTATTAGTTAACTTCTTCCACCTTTAATATTTTATTTTATATTTGGCTGATTTTGCTTCAAACTTTTGCACAATATTAATCTTCACTATTTTAGCAAATTTTCTTTTCTTTGACAAATTTTTGCTGAAAAATAAAAAAAAATTAAATATTTTCCTTTTAATAATTATAGAATTTTAGCTTTGTTTTCTTTTTTTGAATTTTTTTTTAAATATCTCGTTAATAATAGTAGAAAAATGAAAAGATATTTGTGTTTCTATTTCAGCGAGAAGCACGTGGATCAGTTACCTTCAAGATAGTGCCATCATACAGGAGTGCGCCGCCTCCCTGCGAGGTACAAGTAAGCCCTAAAATCCGTGACCACTCCCCAACCCTCACTACATCTGTTAATACAACTATCACTGCCACTGCAAGTACTTCCACCTCAATAGAAACAATTCACAGTTCCGCGTCAAATCAAAAAACAATAAAACCCATTCCGGGTAGCTCGAAAGAAAAATCCTCAAAATCCCAAAAAACAGTCAAATCAAAAAGTACTTCCTCATCTTCCGATTCAACACCGCGACGCCGTTTAGTAAATCCACTTTCCGTTCTCCGTTCACGAAAATCTCACACTTAAAATTATTCACGCTCGATTAGACACAATATATATAACTATATTTATATTTGAATCATTGCTCGAACTTCCACCTTCAACTTTGAAGCGAGAAATTTATTTCAAAATTCAACCATTTACTAATTTATAAATTCTATACTTTTCAGTTTTATACTTCTATATAAAATTCCACTCTTGATTAATTTTTAAAATGAAACTTTGCCTCGAAACATTTAATTAATTCATACATCTTAAATTAATTTCAACTTTAATTAGAAAACTAATTTCAATGGGAATTAACAGATTTTGTTTAGTTAATTTATTTATAGAAATTTATTTTTCTATTTTTTTCAAATTAAGATTAAAAAACACTTGGAAATAATAATTGCAGGACTCAAACCAGTGAAAGTATTTAAAAATACTTTCTAAAAAGAATTCAATTATTTAAAAAAATTTTTAATAAAATTGTATGAAAACATTTAATTATTTTCATAGATAATAAAAATTTCACAGGAATTCAATTATTTTTATAAATAATAAAATTTTTTTAAAGAATTCAATTATTTTCATAAAAAATAATTTTAAATTCTAGAAAATAAAAATTGAATTAAAATGATGAAAAAATAATTTTGATGAAGTTACAGTAACAATATTCTCATAATATAAAATAAAAAATTTTTGAATGTCTTAATTCCTGCAGAAAATCCTGTTTCAAAAATAAGATTAAAAATAGAAATTGTGCAAATATTTTTCTTCTCTTTCAAAAACAAAATAATAATTTTGTTAAAAAAATTGTGATTCATAAACAAAAATAATGCAAAATAAATCAATTTTCTATAGTTGTTTAACAATTTTCTAATTTGGTTTAGAAGTAAAGAACAAAAATCTGCATAATTTCAATTTGACAAAACATAATATTCAACAAAATTTTAGTCTTTTAATGAAAAGAAGTGAAAAAAATCTGATGATTTCTATTTGTCATATACAATTTTGAATTAATTATAAAATAAAAATAATTATAACTTAATAATATAATATAAAATCTATCTAAAGATAACGAAAAACAAAAGTATAAAAAAAGACATGCTTTTAATATTCAATTATTATCTAAAATTTTAACTGAAATTAATTTTTAAATCAATTTTTATTAAAAAATTTTACGAGAATTCAATTATTTAAATACAAAAACAATTATTTTATTAAATAATTGAATGTTTCTTAAAATTGAATTTTCATAAAGAATTTTATGAACAAATTTTTAAATAATTGAATTTTTTCGACGAATTTTAATAAAAATTTTAAGAATTTTTCGAGAAATTCGATTAAAATTGTATTTAAAATAATTGAAATTCTGCGATGAGTTTTATTATTTATGGAAATAATTGAATCCCTAAAAAAAATTTTATTATTTTTGAAAAAAATTTAATTTTTGATAAGAATATTATTATTCTTGAAAATAATTGAATTTCTGCAATAATTTGTAACTTTTCCAAAATTCAATTTTTTTTTCGTGATTTTAACTAAAATTCTTCTATTAAATGCATTATTTTTCATAATTTTTGAAAAAGTTCTTTGAGAATTCTCAAATTCATTTGTTTACAATTCGAGGAATTACATTAATAATAATTCAATTTCTGCTATGAGTTTTATTATTTATGAAAATAATTGAATTCCGAAAAAGAATTTTATTATTTACGAAAATGATTTTTGAATCCCTGTAAAAATTCGATTATTTATGAAAATAATTGAATGATTGCGAAGAAATTTATAAAAAATTTGTAAATAATTAAATTCCTGGTAAATTTTTATTATTTTGGTAATTAAAGGTTTGCGTAGAATTTTATTAAATTTTTTTTTAAATAATTGAATTCTTTTGGAAAATTTTATTAAAATAGTAGATATTAAAAATCATTTAATTGAGGAAAATTTTTGAAAATTATTAAAATTTTGCCAAGAGTTTTATTAAAATTTTTGAAAAAATTGAATTTCGGAAAAGAATTTTATTACTTTTTGAAAATAATTGAATTTCTACATCCCCTGTAATTATAAAAATTAAGGAATAAAAGAAAAAGATGCGAGTAAATATAATAAATAATTCAATTATAATTTTATTGATAACGAATTTTGATAAATTAGACTGAAAAAAATTTATTTGGCTTAAATAAAATTTATTTGATTGAATTATTTATTCTATAATAAACAAGTAATTAGTTATTCGAAATTTAAGTAAATTTTTGCATAATAAAAAAAATAATAAAAAAAATTTCCATAATAATTAAGAACCAAATTAAAAATTCTAAAGGAAAATTAAATAATATCTAATCCAGAACAAAATTATTAATTACATGAAAAATTATTTAATAATTAAACGACTTAATATTTTTCTAAAAAAGAAATAATAGTGAAAGTCAATAATTAAAGAAAATATAAACAACAAATTATTGTTGTTAAATTTGAAGAAGTTAACAATTTTCCCGAATCAATCTACACAAATAAATTAAATATCTTAAATAAATCTCGATAAGCTTCGGGAAAATTGTTAACTTCTTCAAATTTAATATTTAATCACCGAATGATAAATTCACTTCCTTCAAAAATTATTGATGTATTTCACAAAATAAAAATGTAGTGAAAGTATAATATTAAAATTAAAATATTTCTTTTGTTTAAAAAAAATTTTAATTTCTATGGTAAAATTAATATTTTTAATATTGAGTTAATTCGTATTTTAAATTTTAATACTATTTCAACAGATTGACCCTTTTATCTAAAAAATTTTATTATAATTCTTCATTTCTAAAAAAAACCCTCTTCTAATTCGATTTTCTGAGAAAAAAATTTTCTAACAAGTTTTTAATTCTAAAAATATATTTTTCTAACAAATTTTATGACTAATATTTATTTCTAAAATTGTTTTCTAATATTTGTCTCTAAAATTGGTTTTTACAATTTATTTCTACAAATTTATTTCTAAAATTTATTTCTATATTTTATTCTTAAAATTCATTTCAATAATAGTTTCTTGAAATTTGAGTTTGTAAATCAAATTTTCCCATCAATAGAAAAACAGATTTTTAATTGAATTTGTCAAAGAAAAATTTCTGAAAATTTATGTTGTCAGCAATATTTTTCTAATATTTATTTCCTTTTTCGCCTATCGCTAAAAATAGTATAAAAATTTTAATCTACAACTGTTCTTTTTCAATTAAATCAATCCTTTACTTTGACAGAATAATTTTGACTTATTAAGAAAGCTAATAAAAAAATCGACAAAAGCCAATTTCAAATGTTTCAAAATAAACTTTTGAGTGAAATTTTATTAGAATTTGAAGTAGAATAGATAAATTTGATTTCTAATACAATTTTGTTCTTTTTCAATTAAATTAATCCTTTACTTCGGCAGAATAATTTTGACTGATTAAAATGCTAATAAAAAAATATTCTCCGAAATTGATTGCGAAATCGATGAAAGCCAATTACAAATGTTTCAAATTGTACTTTTGAGTGGAATTTTATTAGAAATTTTTTTACATTAAACTTGAATAGATAGAGAACATTTAAAAATAAAAGAAATTAGAAATTTTTGTTTTCCAACATTAATAAGAATATTTTTATTATTATTATTTTCAATCTTTAATATTAATTTTTTTTTCTATATTTTCTAAATAATATAATTTATTTTAATGCCCTACGTGTCAAATTTTGGAAGTAAAAATCAAATTAAAATATTAAACAAAATTATTAAACAAAATTTTTTCCCTTTCTTAAATTATATTATTCTATTTTATTTTTGATAAAATGAAATTTCAACATTTTGCAAAAAACTCAAATGAAGTTAAAAATTTTTAATATATAACTAAATTGAATAATTTGTTACCCCTCTTTTTACAAAATTGAGAATATTCTCGAAATTTTGACCTTGATTTTGAAATTATTTTCGTGTCGACCTGCAAATTTTGACTTACAGTAAATTTACTGTCGCATTGACCTGCGATTTTTTGACCTCAATTTTGAAGTTATACTTACCTAATGACACTGAATTTATTGACCTAAATGGTATTCACCTTTTGACCTAAATTTTAAAACTATTTCGCCAATTGGCCTTTGACATTTGACCTGCATTTTAAGTTTACACTGTTCACAGGTCAAATTCTGTGTGTTGTAAAAATATAAATTTTGAAATTACATTTACATAAAAATGTGAATATTTGGATTTATGTTTTAGAATATATATTTTCCATTATTGGCCTAAGTTTTAAAAAATAACAGAATTTTCTCTTTAACTTAATTTTTGGATTTCTATTTTTTTTTAATTAAAAAAAGAAAGAAAATCCTTTGTAACCGATATTCTTTTCATTCGATGAAACAATTTGAAATCGAATGCTCTAAATATTGAAAAATAATTTTTTTTCACCCTCTTTGATAGAATATCTCCAAAGGTATGAAAATATTTATTTATATTTGAATTTTGCTCAATGAAATATATCGAATTATTATTAATTTCTTATATTATTTACGATTTTAATTATCAGAATTATTATGATTTTTTATTATTATTATTATTATTATTATTATGATTTTTGATTATAATTATTATGATAGTTGTAATTTATCATTATAATTATTATGATAGTTGCGATTTATCATTATAATCGTAATGATTATTATAATTTTTATGACTTACGATTACAACCATTATAATTATTCGGATTATTACGAAGATACATTATTCAATTGTTAAATCA